ATGAGCCGGCGCCGGCCAGTCTCTCTGTGCCTGCGAGAGTTACTACGTGGCGTTCTGTCCTCGGTCCTCATTCATCAGTCTTCCTCTTGACTCCTACCTCCTCTGCGAAAGGCTTGCTGGGAAATGCCGCGGCCTGGAAAACTAGGGTTTTCTCCCTACTGCAGACCCAGCAGAGAACGGCACGAGTCCCAGGGGTGGTGTGAGATGGGGAACCTGCAGCAAAGGCAGAGGAGGGCCCCGGCCGGGAGCTGTGCTACCCCAGAGAACACGCTGATCTCTTCCTCCTCTTCACCCGTCAGATCGAGCCTCTCATCTAACTTCCCTTTTAATAGATTGACTTTCTGCAAGGCAGGGGAGGAGCCAAATGTTTTTTTGAGCACCTAATCTTTTGAGGTTTCTTGATATTTTCTTTGTAGATTATCGTATTTTCACTGAATACTATCTTTTTCTTTCTTTATTCATATCTCACATGTATTTTGGTATGATTTTTGCTTATTCCTCGGGCTCTGTAATCCAGACAGTACAGCAGGTGTAAGGTCCTGCTTTTGAACTCTTGAGATAGGTTTTGGAGTAGGAGGCCAAAAAATGACTTAAGTGGTATGAGGTGTTGCTCACACTTAGAGGAGTGACTCGATGTGGGATCTAGAGTAGGGGTCCCCAACCCCCTGACCACAATCCAGTACCAGTCCATGGCCTGTTAGGAACCGGGCTGCACAGCAGGAGGTGAGCCGCAGGCAAGCAAGCGAAGCTTCATCTGTATTTGCAGCCGCTCCCCAGCTCTGGCATCGCCGCCTCAGCTCCACCTCAGATCATCAGGAATTAGATTCTCATAGGAGCACCAGTCCCTGGTGCCAAAAAGGTTGGAGACCATTGGTTCCTCTGGTCTAAACATTTTGCGGGATGTGATTAAAATAATCAACCACATCAAAGTACAAGCCCTTAACTCACATCTCTTTGTGTAGCTCTGTGAGGGGATGGACGCAGAGCAAACATGTCTTTTCTCGTACACAGAAGTGAGACGGCTTCTAAACGTAGATCACTGGCTAGAGTTTTTAAGTTATAAGAGCTGTTCCAGAGATTTCTTTTAGAAAAACAGTCACCACTGGCATCCCATTTCAGCGACACAAAATCAGTCTCAGAACTTGCTTAGTTGTGTGACATATTCAATCTGCTTAACCAACTCAATCTGTCACTTCAGAGGAGAACGACAACGCTATTCATGTCGGGAGGTAAAGTGGCTGCATTCAAAGCCAAACTGGAGTTATGGGGGAGACAAGGGAACATTGGGATTTTTGACGTGTTTTGACATTAGCAGAAACTTTGAAAGAAAGTGAGCCAGGGCCTTCTTTCTCCCAGCTGGTGTATGATTACCTATCTCAGCTTTCAAAAGAGTTAGAGCATTACTTTCCAACCACAAAAGACCCCTGACCTGTGAAGGAATGGATCTGCGACCCATTTGTGAATAAGCCGGGTGAATCGGCTTTGTCCGTGCTAGAAGAGGATCAACTGCTTGAGATCACAAATGATGGTGACCTTAAACGTATGTTTGAGACAACTTTAAATCTCCATACATTCTGGATTAAAGACAAGGAGGAATAACCTGAGATTGCCACAAAAGCACTATAAAGTCTGATTCATTTCCAACATTCTATCTTTGTGAAGCAGTGTTTTCTGCAGTGACAGCAACCAGAACGAAATCATGGGAGTAGACTGGACATAAACAACACACTTCAGGTGTCACTGTCTCCCATCACTCCCAAATAAGACTGTCTAGTAGCAGAAAAATAAGCTCAGGGCTCCCACTGATTCTGCATTATGGTAAGTGGTACAGTTATTTCCTTCTATATTGCAATGTAATAATGATAGAAATAAAGTGTACAATAAATGTAATGCGCTTGAATGATCTGGAACCCCCACCCCACCCCCAGCGGTCCCTGGTGCCAGAAAGGTTGGGGACCGTTGTTGCTGACACATTCCAGAGATGTGTTCTAAGCTCTTTGCTTTGTTCAAGTTGTGTCCTACATAAGTCTCCTGACCAAATGTGCGGGAGGGACAAAATTCAGCTTGGTTCTAGAATAAAGAGGCCAGAAATATCTGTTTGATAGGGATGTTGAACAACTAGCACTGTTGGCGTGAGTGTACATTAGCAAGACATCTGTGGAAAACTGCATAGGCTCCCAGTATTTCATTGTATTAACCCATTCTCTCAAGCCTAGATACATGTAAAATAGTTTCAAAATTGCTAACCCACACCACTGTGAAATACAATTTCTCAAATTGATTCAATATTTTTATCATTCTTTGTGTGTATGTGTGTGAAATTTGTTGAAATTTACATACCCTGAAATGCAAAGATTTTAACTGTGAGATCTGATAAATTTGAACAAATGCATACACTTGTGAAACCCGCACATCCATCGAGATGGATATTTTCATCATCCCCCAAATTTTCCTCATGCCCCTTTCCTGTCAAATCTCCAGAACCCTAACAACCACTTTCTGATTTTTTCCCAGTGAATTAGTTTTTTTCTTTGCTCTAGAACCTCATATAAATAAAATCATATTGTATATAACATGTTGTGTCCAGATTATTTTGCTTATTGTAATGTCCACACTGTTGAGTGTATC